ATCCGGCCCGCGGGCCGTAGGTTGCCGACCCCTGATTTACACAATAGCCCAGGTGTGGTGTCTTTTAATTACAAACTTCACATAGATGCCAGTTGGCATTTATGCTATAGCCCAAAAGGCAAAATATACTAATTAAGCTATTGTAGTTGATGCTGTTCCCAGCACTATCATTGTGACAGCTTTTCATTTCTAGTTACAAAAGCTAATGAGGAGTTGAGCTTGGCATTCTGCATCAGTTATGCGAGGTATAAAATGGGTGGTGGCAGTCATGCCTTGGTATGAACACTGGTTTTTGTAAAGCTCTCTTAGTTCAAATTAGTTGCCTGATAAGTTTATATGCGATATAAAATAAAATAAGCAGTGAAAGATGCAGGAAACTGTAGCCTTCACTTAGCAGAAAATTAAAGTGCTGAACTGTTTATTGGGTGACATTGAGATAGGTTCATATATGGAAAACTAAGCAAATGCAAGAATGGTTAACAAAAATTCCAGACAGAGAAATCTAGAAAACAGATGAAGCTTCCCAATAAAGAGATTTTCTGGCAGCCTATAACAGAAATTAAGCCAGTGCAGTTACTGACCCAGTTTCTAAAATATTTCTAATATGGCAAAATTTGCCTGAAGAGTGAGAAGATTTACAATTACATTTTGCAGACGCCTTACAAAAGTGTACGTCTAGATTCCTTGAACCGACCACCATTAGAAGAGTGCAAGGAAAGCAAATCCACCAACCAGCCTAGCTATTCAGATTTCATGGTATGTCCTAAATCTGTATTTCCTTATTGCATAACATTATAGGAAGTGAGTGGAAGCTTCTCCAGTTAAGCTCAGAAGCAAAGTGCTCAGCTGTGCTATCAAAGTACCATTGCTTTGCTTAACGGGAGTGTAGGGTTTCTATAAATTGACTCTGAAGAGCAGACAATCCAGGACTGTATGCTTGCTTTGAATTGTCTGGTGGTGGTCATCCTATCTGGAAGTAGCTATCTAGAAGTTTTTCAAGAATGGTGACTAATCCTAGATGGAATTATGAATGTGTACAGCTATAGGTAGGTTTCACTTATCTGTTGCGATAGGACACTGCTTTGCGCTAGGCTTGGGTGTGGTGTGTTTTTTTAAAATTGTTTATTTGGTGGTATAATTCCTCCTAAAAATCAGGGCTGCAGACATGCTGTGCAGTAGAGTTGCTTGAAAGATAGTGACTACCGAGGGTTATCTGCTACACTTAATCACTAAATGACTAAAGAGTTATTTGAGCCTGTTGGTCCAGCACTAACCCCTACATATAACTGTTTCTGGGAAATCCCATAATTTCTGTCTTAAATTTTATTGGTGTATTTCTTTTGTCTATTAATGGAATCCATTCAAACAAATCTGTGTGCTGTTAACTATAATTTGTAGTTCTCCTTTTACATCATTAGCCTTCAGCAGCAATGATTGTTGCAAAATCACTAGTTCAGTACCTGTTTTGGACTCTCTTCCCCTAGTGAGATTCACCTTTTGATGTCTAACTCTACTTAAATCTTCTTTTGTTCTGGGTAGCTTCTTTGAAACTTTCAGTCTTTCAACCCTACTATTTATATCTTTTAGATGCTTGTTTTCAGTATTACGAGCCAGTGGAATAGTGGTTTGAGCACGGGATTATGACTCTGGACAGCAGGGTTCAAATCCCTGCTCAGTCATGGATACTTAGTGGGTTACCTCACTCTCAGCCTCAGGGGAAGGCAATTACAACCCTGGGCTGAACAAATCTTGCCAAGAAAATCACATGATAGGCTTCTCTTACGGTCGCCATAAGTCAGAAACAACTTGAAGGCACAAAACAATAACCCCAGTATTATAGACCCTACTGTATATACTCATGTATAAGTCTAGAAATTTTAGTAAAAAAAATTAATCCAATAAAACGTAGGGCCTTTGCAGACTGCCAGAAATAGTGCACATTAAATTGAGGCACTGCCCTGGCTCAGTGCTAGGGAGTCATGGGAACTGTAATTTATTGTGGCACCAGAGCTCTCTGACAGAGAAGGCTCAATGTCTCAGAAAAAAATACAATTCCCATGATTCCCTAGCACTGAGCCAGGGCAGTGCCTCAATTTAATGTGCACTATTTCTGGCAGTCTGCAAAGGCACTAAGTTGACTTATCAACAGATCAATGTAAGTACTGACTCTTATAAAAAAGGAACCATTCCTGGTGAGAGGCAAGAGTGTAATCTGTCCTGGAACCACTGACTTCCCCTCTTCTCTCTCATATATCCAGCCTTTAGTATGAGCATAGAGATGCCTGCTGGAATTTTGTAAGTTCTTTGGCATTGTTTTCCCTTGCTTCATCCTTTAGATTCTTTCATACAAGCCCCTACATTTTAGCCTCAACTTATCCACATGTCATATCAAAATCCATAATTGGCCCCAAAACCTGCGCTCAACATATACATGAGTTTGACTTATAGTTGAGTATATACAGTATATCTTCTCTTCCTGAGTTATTGAAATTATCTCATTATGATTTCTTCCCAGTCTCCCTTAAGATTGCTTGTACTCTCCATACGCCTTCCTGTCAGTGAAACCTGGCTCTTTCCATTATTGACACCACTGCTGTCATTTCATTCTACTTCCCCATCATGGCAACTGTGTTGATGAAGATGGCAGCCTTGTTGAATTGTGCATCTTACATACCCTGCCTCCCTTTCTAACTTCTGAAATGTCAAAACCCTATATAAATCTGCCAGAACCCTTAAGATCTTCATGAGAAGGTTTTCTCTTGGTTCCGCCACCATCACAGGCTTGTTTGGTGAGGACACAAGAAAGACCCTTGTCAGTGGCTGCTCCCACCCTTTAAAACCCTCTCTGTCATGAGACACTAGACTGGGCCCCTCCCTGCTCTCCTTTTGATGATAGGCAAAAACTTTTCTCTTTGTGCAGGCTTTTAATATGTAACTGCACCCAGGAAGTCTTCTTATTGGGGTGTTTGTTTTTGTATGTATTGGCAGCCTAGCCAATCTTCTGTTTTCCTGTCTGGACTGAACACTTAACTTGCCTTTTTGTTGCAAAATTTCAAACCTTGTTCCTTAATGAATGCGGCATTTGCGTTGTGAACCTCACTGACCTGCCTGCCTCCCACTTCTCAACTTATTTAATTTTGTGTACTCCTTTTTTTTCTGCTAACTAGCTTTCAAGCTAGCCTGCAATAACCCATTAACAATAAAATTTAAACAAACAAAAAATCCATCCAGCCATACAACTAGCCCAGCAAATCAATCATAATAGAAATAAAAGAAAAATACTTTGTTTCAGAAAGACTATCTAAAGACTCATGGCTAAAAGATTCCAAGCAAGTGCCTCCCAAAGGAGAGTAATGGGGGGAGGGGAAATCTGTTGCTAATTTGCCCAAATAAAGATTTGTTAAACATACCTGAAGAAGGGCTTCATGAGGACAAGTTTATATATGACACATTGGTCTTTCAAATACTCCAGGCCTTTAAAAGCTTTATAGATTAACACCAAGTTTTCTAATAGCA